GCGGCGCCGGGGGGCGGGATGGGCTGGGAGCCTGGCGGCAGGGCCTGCGGCGGCGGCTGCTGCTGGTGCATCTGCTGGAAGTGCTGCTGCCGGGCCCGCATCTCCGCGTACTTGAGCTGCTCCATGTGGAAGGCCTGTCTGTCCGCCAGGAGCTGCTGCCGCTGGTACTCCAGCTGCGGGGCCAGGGGCGCGCGGTCACCCCGCTTCGAAGACCCCAAGGGAAAAGGCCTCGCCCCTCCCTGCTCTGTCTTCGGCACGGCCAGACTCTCGTTCCGACAGCTCCCCATATCAAATCTAAACCTGGGGCCTCCCTGGTGCGCCGCGGGCGAAGCCCACTTCGGTCCGGACCAGGGAGGGGCCCGAGGGCGCAGCAGCCCCCTCCCGTCTCCCCACTGCCCCCTCTGCAGTGTGTTTCAGTGGATCCGCCTGTTTTGCTCCCCGCTGTGTCTCTGGGGAGCCCTCGCACCTCTGGCCTGCACCCCAGCTCTTGGTGTATAAACAAGTAAATTACATCTTTAAAAAAGAATCTAACCCCTGTGCTCCGGCTGCCCCGGCCCCTCCCGGGAACCCCACGACCTCCTCCTGGCCCCAGGGCTCGCGCTGCGGGGTTCGCTGGGGCAGGCCTTGCTCACCCCCGCGCCACAGCCCCGCGCATGACTGGGAAACCTTCCTTGTCAATTTGTGTTGTTTTCCTCTGGCGCAGTGCGCTAAAGCTCATCATTCTCAGAAGCCACTGCAGATTAGCTCACTGGCCGGAGATCGGTTTTTCTGTCTCTCAAGGCTCACCCAGGGGACTGGGAAGCCCTGCTTTACACCGCGTCTCTGTGGCCTCCAGCTAAGCTACGTTTGCTGAGGGCAAACACCTGGTCCTCAGGTGTTCTCAGACAAAATCGGGCGCTGAAGGCCCGGTCCTGTCCTCACCCCGTAACCTATCCAGTCCTCCACAACCTGCTCTGACTTAGCTTTGACTAAATTAATGACAGCGACTCGCAGGTCCGCACTAGGCAGGACCTGGAGCTGCAGCATGACCGAGCCAATGTCTGCGGCCCGTGTGCACGGTCCCCGCCGGGGCTGCGCCACTCTGCTCTGAAGTCCTGTCAGTCTCCAGGCGGCTGCACCCGCCCCCCCCAAACCGAGACCCTCCCGGGTGTCGGAGGGTCCCTGGCTCCGCGGCCCCCAAGCAGCGGCCACTCACGGCTTCCCGCTCCCGGTCCATGATCGTCTCCAGCTCTTCGAAGTGCCGGAGCTTGATCTCCAGCTTCTTCATCTGGGTCTCTACCAGCAGGGCCACCAGCGACTTGATCTTCCTCTCCTCCACCGCAGCCAAGTGCTAGAAAGGGGCGGGGCGGCAGGTGGGTGGGGGCCGGGGGCAGGCTGTGAGGGGAGCGCCACAGCCGGGGGGCAGGCAGCGCACAGGCGTGTGTCTTTTAAAGTCCACAGGGGGGGGGGGGGGGCGGGGGAGGCTGAGACAGGTGATTCGAGGGAAGGGAGGCCCCATGGTAAAGGCTGCGGGCAGCTTACAGAGGCCCCACGCCGGCTCCCAGTACCCGGGAAAGAGGCCGGGTCGCCGCAGGGGAGGGGGCGTCCCCGGCGGGCGGGTGGGAGGTGGGGGCCCCACAGGGCTGCCCCTCACCTTGGCCTTCACGGCGGCGGCGGCCAGGGCGGCGGCGGCGGCGGTGGAGAGGTTGCCCTCGCCGATGTCGCGCTCCACCTTCGTCTTCCTCTCGCCCTCTGCCTCGGCCACTTCCTTCAGCACCTCCTCCTGCCCGTCCTGTGGCTCCTTCTCTTTCTCAGGGTCAACTGGGCCAAGAAAAGGGTGACTTTACCCTCCCTCCCGCCTCCCGGGCTCCCGCGCGGGCTGCGGCTCACCTGCCGGGTCCCCCTCGCTCTTCTCTGACTCCTTCTCGCTGTCGCCTTCCTTCCCCTTCTCTTCCTCCTTCTTGGGAGCCTCGCTGCTCTTCTCCTTTGCTTCCTCCTCTCCAGCCCCCGCTCCTTCTCGGGGCTCCTGAAGCCCCCGTGGAAGAAGAGCAGGAAAGTCAGGGTGGCCGGTTTCCGCACAGAGCGCTCGGGCCCCTCCTCTGGGGGTGGCCGGGCTCCACAGAAGCCGCCCGGCCCCGGCCAGCCCCCCACGCCGACGCTCGCGCCCAGCCCCAGGCCAGTCCCCGTACCTTGGGCTCCTTCTTCTCCTCTGCGGCCTGGCCCTCCGTCCGCGCCTCTTCAGTCCCGCTCTCCTCTGGGCGCGTGGGAAGAGGGAAGGGGGTGTCTGATACAGAGCCCGTCTCTCAGCACCCTCCCCTGCCTCGTCCAGTCAGGGGACCACGGCCCCTGGGGGCAGCGAGAAGCCTCCAGTGTCCCCGCCCACGCTGGTCCTGGTCGGCGTGAGCCCAGGGCGGGGAGGGCCCGGCGGGGCCGGGCCGTGAGAGGAGAGGAACGGGCACGCGCCGGCCTTACCGACGCGCTCGGGCTCGTCGGACGTGGTCCCCGCGATGCCGCTGCTCTCCAGGCCGAAGGCGGGGTCCGCCCTGCCGGTCACTTTGGCTGCTTCTTCCACTTTCC